AAAAAAAAAAACTAATCTTACTTCAGTAGTTAAACAAAACTGTTACTACAAAATCAATACAATTACCTAACCAGTAACATCAAATCAATTTCTAAAATAATGAATGCCATATGAAATAATCACAATGGTCAGTGAAAACAGTTTCTGGCAGAGCAAGTTTGTCTCAGCCACCCACAACCACCAATGAACTGTGTAGTACTCCTGGAAGGCCATATATTTCTTATATTGAATGTGGGTTATTTATTATATCAGAACTCAGTAGACATATGGGAATGATTTCTGGCAAACAGAAATTTGTTTCAACCACCATCACTGATAAACTGAGGTATGAGATCTGGAACTGAATTTGCTAAACAGACATTCACTACATATGGGAGAATATCTGTATTGGACTTCAGCTGAAACCAGAACAAATATTCACTAAATACAAGATTTCACCATATATATTAACTCTTTAAATTCTATATAATATAGCCATGCATAATCTGATCAAAAATTGGTCATGGGCTAAGATGTAAGCAAATAAATGCCATAAAGATTTGGTCATATAAACACACAGCGCCATGGACATCTGTTATACAAGGAACAAAGGGAATGCCTTAAGAGCAAAGAATGAAGGGGTTAAATTAATGACCACTGGACAGACACAAAGCAATGCGGAGAGATCAGATGAATGCAGACAAAAGAGCATGAAAACAATGGATAGATGGAGGAAGAGAAAAACTGAACATAGGCTTGGTCTCCTCATAGAACGTCAAGGATGTTACAACATAGACAGATACACAGTGTTTTAACGCATATACAGTACTTGCAATTCTAGCACTTCTGCTTCATCTTCCACATTGATTGTCTTGTTTGATATAACAATATTCTTAAAAGAGCACATATGCACATGACAAAAATAGTTACTACTGACAGCTCTATGTGCACCAATTTTCTGACTTCACTATTCACCATACTTGTGGCTTTTGAACATATTTTTATCATATGCGTGAAATAATATGTATTCCAGCCACTTGTACAGAGCTCAAAAGCAAGATCACTAAAGCGACCACAGACATCAAGACTGACATGGGATAAGACTGTATATCAACTGGCAGCCAAATCTGAATACTGTTATGGTAAATAAATTTAGTGAGACAGACTATATTGCAATGGAAAGTAATTAATTATACATGCTCAATTTGTACATGCCCTGAATGATGTAATACAACTTTCCAGGGTTTGAGGGTCTCACAATGGTAAACATGCAGTGTTCTATCTTCTGGGATATAATTCCATGTAGTTCAGTGAAAGCCAACCATTGTTTCAAAACAATATACTGACTCTATTTTTCAAAACAATAAAATAAACCAGCATGAAGCAGGCAGCAAGCAAGATGTCTGCAATATATCCCAGAAGATACAACTCTTCAGTCACTATTGTGAGAGCATCAAATCAATTTTTTTTAACCATTTCCTTTCTTGCTGTGCTATCAGTAAACCAACTTACCAAACTTTTCCTGGAACCATTTCTCGTGAGGTGTCTCTGGTGGAACTGATGTTATGGCATGTAACTGCTCCAGAATGAACACCAACTGGAAACAAACCACATTTCTGTATCAAAGTCGCAGCATTTTGTAGCCAATCTTGAGATGTGACTCAGTGTTTATAGAAAACTGATCTGCCAAGCACTGTAGAGCTCCGCAGTCCCAATCTTCAAGGCAATGTGTCTAAACAGTGTCCTGATGCTGACATTTATACTTCTGGGTCACGTGGCAGTGGGAAGTTCCAAACCCCCCACTAATGAACGTATGACCAATGCTGGAAGCATGAACCTTCCTGTCTTCTAAAATGTAATAATGTGTTTTCTGGAAGACAATTACCAACATTCTGCAGGAATGTGTTGCCTCCATCCTCAAAAGAAGAGCAAACACTCTTCTCACATTCTCATATCCCAGAAGAAAGCAATCTTTAGTCACCATTGCAAGAACCTTAAATCTCAAGAGGAGGAAGGAAATTGGAAGGGTATGAAGTAGCGTAGTTGGTTAAGGCACTATGCTACAAGCTGGAAGGTCATGGGTTCAAGTCCTGATGAAGTGCCCCCCCCCTTTCCAGCTGCACTATGGCCCTGGTGTCGACTCAGCCTCTAACAGAAATGAGTACCAGGAACATTCCTGGGGGTAAAGGGTGGCCAATGCATAAAGCTGACAACCTCACCGCCATCTGTGAGCCCATTGTCTAGAAAATGTGGGAGCCTCAACCTCTCACAAACCTATGGGCCTCCAAAGCCTGTTACAGGGATAACTTTTTTAGAGACCTGTACATTAACTATACAAAAAAGTTAATTTTCCAGTAGTTCTGGGTACAAAACCAAGTGGCTCTGTATCCAACATGGACTACATGACTGAGTTGGGCCTGAGGCCTTTTTTGAATCATGAAATGGAGGCATAAAGATCAGTTTCATCGCACTTTTTTAATTAAACTTTGTGGTAAGTGTGTCTAGAAGATAAAGTTGAAAGCTGATGATATATCTGGCACATGTACAGCAGACTTAGATTTCTAAATTAGGAAACCAATTTCTCTGCTTCCTCTTGTTCAGACTCACCATTATTTAAATGAGATTTATAGAACTGCTACCTGGATCTCAACAGCTGAACTGCGAAAGTCTCAAATTCAGCTCAGCAGCATAAATCACAGCACATAAAAAGCCACGCAGTTTGGCCTGCGTAGCTATCTCATATAAACTGAACTGCCAACATGTTATCTAAGGATATAATGTGGCACTAGGCAAGAAGCAGATGAGTAAGTACTAACTGGTTTGAGAATAATGCGATGCTTCTCAGCAATCAGCCTGTCCTTGTCTGCTGATGACAGAGATGCATTGTCCTCCACTCTCAGGACCTCTAGTTCCAGCTGCTGCAAACGTCTGGAGATCTCTGCATGATGCTGCACCAATGTTCCTAGCCACAGTTCGTCCCACAGCAATGTAATGCGGCGCAACTCTTGAACCAGGAGCTGAACCTGTGAGATGGCTTCTGGGGCCTGCAAACATACAGTCACATTTGTGGAGTAATGTCCAGGTGATAGTTGCATAAAAGGAAGATAAAAGTGGATATGAGATTTGGGGTTCCCACAGTGATGAGTACGAAGATGGAAAGTTGTGTAGTCTAGTAGATGTTCATCAGTGTTTCAAAGGAACATCAGAAATCATCTGCCAGACTACACATGACATCGCATCCAGAAGACACTAATCTTTAGTAGAGACAAAGTTTCTCGAGACCATCAAGAAACCAATATGCAAGGTATGAAAAGAGGCATAATGCAACATAAGTTGGTCAGATTAAGGACAAGGTAATTGGACCTGTTGCCGATCACAGTAGCCAAGCGGTCTAAGGCATGCACTGCCTTCGCTCGCTCGGAAGGCGGGATCGTGGGTTCGAATCCCACTCAGGGCATGGATGTTTGTGTGCGTTTTTCTGTGTTTGTCTACAGGTAGAGGCCTTGCGACGAGCTGATCACTCGCCCAAGGAGTCCTACCGAACGTGTAAGATCTAGTAAACCGAAGTGAAATGGAGAGTTTCATGCAGGTAGGCCTAGGCCCAAATGTGGGCTGTAGCGCCAATGAAAAAAAAAAAATTGGACCTGTTACTCATGAAGCACAGAATAAATGGCCACTGAGAAAACAAATTAGAGAAGACATGCACAATCATGGAAAGAATGAACACAGATACAAAATAAGAGGAATGCTGATGGATGGAGAGAGAACACTGGAGATCACTTTATCACAGGACAGCTGACACTTGTGGAAATTGATATCAGAACCAAATATTCTTTCCCGAAACCAAGCTACAGCAGATATGTACCTGTTATCATGATCCTTCAGAGGTTAAGCTATTAGATTAACCGAAGAACTAACCGGCAAGCTAATTTCAGGATACAGAACACTGCCTGAGTGGCCAATATTTATTCAGCTGATTAAATAATTCCCTGAGGAAGTTTCAAATTACAACAAAGAACAAACCCAGTTGTACTACATAACACAAAGGAATGTAAAATTGGACTCAAGACACTGAAACAAATTTTTTGGAAACAGTGTTAACAACTGATATGTTGGGTTTTTGGACTTTATCCATCGTCCTGGTTTTTAAGATAACAAATAAAAACACGACGTTTCGGAAACTGGATCTGTTTCCGAAACGTCGTGTTTTTATTTGTTATCTTAAAAACCAGGACGATGGATAAAGTCCAAAAACCCAACATATCAGTGTGTTATACACCATCGTCAGAATCCTATAGTAACTAAGTGTTAACAACATTCACAGAAATTATTTTATGAAGATAAACTGGTGTCTGATTTTCACCTTGAATGACAGTTTCAATACCTGTTTTGACAGTGTGTCCACCATGGCCAGGAAACAGTTCTTCAGAACAGAAACCTTACTTTCCTCTTCACTAGCACACTCCTCATCCTCCTCTTCTTCTTCTTCCTCTTCTTCTCCTTCTCCATCTCCCAAGTCTTCTTCTGCTGAAGTTTGGGATAGGCAAGTGCTAAATAATTCTGGAAAGGAAAAAGAAGAAGAAAAAAGAAAAACAGCATGAAATACTCAAGTTACTTACCTACTTGCTCATCCCTTCCATCCTAGCCAATGCTTAAGAAAAAATAAAACAAGGAGCTACAGGCAAACTTACATAACCCAATTTCCTAATGCAGGGCGTTCTTGTCTTCAAATCTTGGGCTGTTACTTTTATAATTAGGTAAAGTAAGTTCATAAAACAACAACAAATGCAATTCATATACATATATTTAGAATGAAACACAACGTATACAGCACGAAAACCACAAGTGAGCTCATGGGTTTGCATGATGAGCTCAGGTATAGGATTAAATGCTACTGGAACTTCAATCTTATTTCTGAGATCAATTCAAGAAAAACAACCTCAATTCAATCACTGATTCTTCAGTCTTGAGAATTTCAGACAACCGCCCTTGCTTTGTATAGCAGCATACAAACCACCTGAACCGTCAGAATCATAATGGTTTGCAAAGCTAGCATGAATCAACTTGTCAAAAAAATCAGTCTCAGTCCCTCCTCCTGTCCACAATTCTTCATTTTCTATTTCAGTATATGGTGTCGGCATCTGATGTCAAAAAGGACAACTAGTACACATGAGGGCATTGTTAAAACAGGCTTGTCATAAATTATGATTACAGTGAAGAAATTGGTCTAACAGAGAAAACTGCCGCTCAGCTTTGAGTCTCAGAATGTATCCAAATTCTACTCTCAAACTGAAAAAGTAATTCTCACATACCTAATGGAACAGACAAATGATCTCAAAGAATGGTCCACATCAGCTTAATCTGGTCACTGGCAGCAAAGAAGAGAAGGTAACTATGGTTACAGACATTTATCATATCCCTGCACCTCACCCTAACACAAACTCACTTGAAGTAGATGCACCCATTGTCATGTCCTGAAGTCGCGCTCCTCCTGCAGCTGCTCCCACCACTGCTGGAAACGTGATGAGGTGTGGCGCGTCCTCTGCAACACGGCACAGTAACTCAGACACACGTCGTCTCACGTATGGCTCTGGGTGGCTGAGTCGAGAGAACAGCTGTGGGATGATGCCCTTCCAGGGCCGCGTTGGTGTAGTGGCAAGTCCAGATTCCAGCACAGTCTGCAGTTCCAGGGCATGTTTGACGATCAGCCGCAGAAGACGCAGAGTGGCCGTGATGGTCGTGCAGTTGTTCTCCATCCCACCATTTACACTCTGGAGAATGTTAAAATACAAACTACGTTATACACAGTCTCCCATTACATTACTGCTTAGTCTGAACATCACACATCCAGTGTTAACATAAACATGATGATCCTGCAGTGGCTGGATTGTGGCAGATTAAGCAGAGTCTCATGTGCTGCTTCAATATGGCAACTCACTTCAAATGAGATCTTGTTATACTACTTAAGGAATGAGGCTCAAGGTTTTCTTGGTGGAGATTACTATCATCTGGGATGTGATGCTACATAACCTATAGACAGGTACCAACAATTCAGAGGAACCTGCAGACTCCATCTCAAGGTTAAGGGACCAAGTTCCTCAAAACCTTTAATACCGCCCATCAAACCACACTGTGTCACATCCCAGAAAGAAGTATTCTCTTGAACAGCTGTACCTAGACTATAGAATAGACTGCACATTTTACTTTGCAGGAACAAAGAATCTCTGGTAATTCAGAGTGGAACTCCGATTTAATGTTCCTCACTTTAAGGTTTCCCCTCATTATGAATTCAAATTAAATAATGTCAATAAGCTCAGTGTTAAATTATCTTCATTTAAGATTTTCTTCAATTTAGTGTTCAAATCTACTGTTCCCCCAAGAAACCTTAAACAAGAGTTTCACTGAATCTTTTTTATGACAAATCAGCATTTACCAGCATTCACCAAACTTTAAACGTTGTACGGAACAAACTGATGAGTACCTCCTTGTCTCCACACAGCTCCAGATACTTGAAATATGCCATAGCAGAGAGTTCATAGTAACTGTAAATACGTTTCTGGGCATCACGCCATATCTCCACTAGCCGTGACAACTGTTCACTATTTGCTCCATTCAGTGCATGGATATTCTGAAGCTGGTTTTCAATCATCTCAGATGTGTTGATATCTTCTGTCTGTAAAACATATTAACAAATGACATAACAAGTTAATCACCTTTACAGGTCAATAGAGTTTCTGTCATGGGGTATAAAATACTGCACATCTTCAAATGTGACTACAGTAACCCATCAATGTCAAACGAGTATCTCCTTATTCACGGTCTGGGAAGATCTCTGAAATAATGCAAGGAATTTGTTTTGTAATATTCATAACAAGTCTCAGTAGTCTAACACTGGAAGTGATTATAAAAAGGACTGCTTATATAGCCACTTTGTATCCAGTAAACATAACAAACCTCACCTCTATATCCTCCTCATCAGCAACAGCCCGAGTCTGGCTCAGAATAAAGTATACTTTGTCTAATTCATCTGCAGAAATTCCAGGTGGCATCATCTGCTGTACTGCTACCCTGTCCACTTCTGACAGCTGTCCTCCAGCTTCGCCAGCCGTGTCCACTACACGCCGACCCCAACGATAGCACCAGGATGCAAACTGGCTCCAGGCCTTGCCAAGTTCAGGACATCTTGACACCCCAAGCTGTAGTAGCCGACCAATCACAGCATCCGTAGGAGGAATCACATAGACTCCATTATGAGAGATTGTATTGCAATCTGTAAGGGATTGAGTAACAGATGTGACATAAATTATTTCACAAAACTAATTTTTGCACTTAGCAATATGAAAGCACAAGGCCCAATATTTGTCTTCTTACCCGGTGTGTACTGGGAGCCATTTCCGTAATGATTAAGCAAAGCACAAAGCTGACCACTCATCTCCTTTGAGTGATTACCTCAAGAATGTACAGATCCATACCTCCTGACCCCATTTATAAGATTAGTCATTCTAGAGAAATATAATAAAATTTGCTTTGGGCTTCACATTGATACAGACCAAAATAAATGTATCCAACTGTTAAAAATTAATTAACGCAGATACTTCTTACTTTGAACATTCATAAAGCCAAAGATGGATGGGTCATTAATGCTGCTGTAAGCCTTTTCCCATGCTAACAGTCGTCCCAGGGCACTTCCATCATTATCCACCGCTGCTGACACAAGTTGATTCTCTTGCTGCAGCCACTTAGCAAGGGTAAGCAGTGCCCTGGATCCCCTCTCACGGAGATGCAGGTCTCTGTCTTCCATCTGCTGGGCAAGGTTCAGAGCTGTAGCTGCACACACCTGCATTGCGCTGTCATGTTTCTCCAAACTGCACATAGATAAGCATACAGTAAGCATACCAGGAGAAAGACAACCACTCTGAAGTCAGCACTTTTAAATATTTGGGTTGTGAAACAGCATACTGAAAAACTGGTGATAAAGAAGAGACACTTAATAGGTACTTCTTTCACGGCACTATAAATCGTACATTAGGTAGAATGGTACATAAAAGTGCTGTTAAAACTATATAAGGTAATGGCAACACTATCACTGTTATATGGCCATGAAACATGGGCCCTAAGAGCAGACGAGATAACAACAGCAGCAGCTGAGATGTGTTGAGACAGGTTGTATGTTAACACTTTTAAATTTGAGACAGAGTAAAGCAAGGAAATACAAACTTAAGTGTGTCACGTCCATGGCTGGTGCGCAGGACTGACAAACTTACCGCCATCTGTCAGGTGACTGTCTAGAGAAAATGTGGGAGCCTCAACATCTCTCAACCATATGGGCCTTCATAGCCTGCACAGGGATTAGCTTTACATTTTAATGGGTTCTGCCAAAACACTGAAAATCAGACTATACAGCATCATGTTTCAGCCCATTCATGGTCATTGTCACAAGAATATCAAATCTACATTTATTGTATCCCCTTCCCAATCATCAAATTTCATAATATCAATCAAGATGTTATACAGATGAAACTGACGAACAGAGACAAGAGCATTCACGGCCCATTTCAAGGTATTATCCAGGAATTTGACTGGAGGGCCTGAGAAGAAAACATGCCCAATTAGAATTCTGTGTTTTGAAAAAAATCAGGATCAGTCACATCTTGAATGCATGTGAGAAGTGTTATTACTACAGTCAACTTCTTTCTTCCATTGCCTCTTTAGCACTGGGAACAACAGTGAAAAGTTCAAGAAGTATAACAATATATGACACTTACCTATAAAGTGCCTTTGCCATCTCAGTGAAAGCCTTAGCATTCTGGACATGCCACACCATGGAAATGGGCACAGCTGGCTTCACCCTTTTGACAGTTGTATCAACAAAACTCTGTGCTACTTCTTCTAGTGAAAGCTTATTTTTTGCACCAACACACAGCAACCCATTTTGTGACTTCAGATAATCAATCAGCAACTTCTGAGCCAGCATCAGATTTCCTTCTTTACGGGACACTCTGGACACCTCCAGCATCAACTGGTTTATCCAGGAGGAATGACAATGTAGGTCACCTCCTATCACGTTGCCACCAGCATGGTTGAAGTATTTCCCCCACCAGAGAACTTGGGTCAGCAGAGATGAACTCAGACTATCAACATCACAGCCATTAATCTGCAAGAAGGGAATGAATGTATACTGACAGAACATTACACAAATGAAACCGATCAGTTCTTAGTTTGTTTACCAATATTTGGATCTCAGAGAGAAGAATTAAGAAGATACAGAACAGCAGCATAACACCCACTGAAAATTCAACATTTATTACACAAGCTTTCACACTATTAAATTCCTGCCTTCCCCCATGCTCCATTTGAGTCCAACATGTTATCAAATGAAGGGCTGAGGCTGACATTTAACACCATATCCCATGAGTAACACGCACAAACAGTCAATGGTAAATGATCTCCTTTATACAGTACAATACTGTAATATGTTTTGCCACTGAAGACAATGTTCAGATTGTTAATTGGTTTATTTAACAACTTACAAATCGTAACTACAATTAATTATAACACTGTTGTGGGTTTGGACAATTTACAAACCCTACACGCTAATCTATTTACTCTATCTTCAGTAGTTTTCACATATTAATAATGCAGGAGCTATACAGGTCTCTCTGAATTACACACTTGCAGTACCTTCTCAGTTATCATATACTCTTCAAATCACACATCTGGTTCTTCTTTCATGGCTGCTATATTTCATCTGACTTATGACGTCTTCTTCATGTTCACGATTCACTCGCTACAACGGAACGCGGCAACTGCTAGACTTCCACTGCCCTCGGTGACTGCTACATTTCAACTCTCTAGGAACTCTGGTTACACTGACGAATACTCCTCGTTATGTAGCTTCCGCAATGACAACACAGAAAACAGTTACATGATAGCTACCACTGTTGTGTGATGTCACGTTTACCGACTGCCAAGCAACAGTCTCTGCACAGTCGCTTGTTGCCACATAGTAACCACGGTGTCCCCTGTTACGTCAGCGCGGGGGAGGGGGGTGGAGTGTTTACTGGTCCTGTTACCATAGCAGTGGCAGTGGCTCCTATGCGGTTATGTCACTGCGACAATGGTTGTCTGACACAGCTGCTCTGATGTTACGTCACCACTGGCCCGGAGGGAGGGGGGTCCTGCATAGCGTAAATACATCACACTGCTCCCTGTTCGTCCCGAATAGCCTAACGGTGCATCTCTGTTCCTTTTCTTTGAAGGCTGTTCTTGCAATGTCTTCTTCCAGCTGTTACATCCGCTCCCTTCTTAAGATTGTTCATCCCAAACAATTCCATGGTCCAGCGTCGTATCACATTCACTCCTCACATTCATCCATCACACATTTACTCTTGCTGGGGTGGCTGGTACTTCTACGTTACCAACTCCTCTGCTTGAAGTATCTTTTTCCGTTTTGGAGGGGGATGACCCCTTCACAAGGTCCACTTTCTTATTTTTGTAACCCAACAGTAGATTTGACCATTTGCTTGGCAATCTCCAGTCTTGTAGTTTTCATGAAATTCATGTAAAAATTTCCCATGCTTTCCACTTTTACCTTCTTCAGGTATGGTTTCTTCAGATGTTGCAGCTGTCCGCTGCCTAGGTCCATTTCTGCCCTGTAGTTGCTGTCTCAGGCCTCAATCCGTTATGTCATTGTTGCATTCCGGGCCTTTCCAGAGTCTCTTCCTGAACGTCCCTCCTTTCAGGCTTCTTGGTATGACATCATCTTTGTTTCGTCCCTTACATCTGTATCCTGCAGAGCGGGTAATCTTCTTTCCGCCTGCAGTCACTTGTTTTCACGGTCCACAATTTCCTGATGATGTTCCTTTTGTGCCATGCCATCATTGCACGGCAGGACACTTTCCTGCAGGCGGCAGCCTATATCCTCTGAGATCCACAATTTCCTGGGGTCACTTTCTTTGACTCTTCGCATCACCCTGCAGTTTGCTTCTTGTCCCTATGCTGCCTCTTCTGTCCATCGACCGGTTTCACAACAGCATCTTCAACAGGGACTTCTCGTTGTTGGGCCACCTCAGGTTTCCTGTCCATTGAGGTCGGCTCTTTTTCTTCCAGATGTGCCTCCATCTCTTGGCAGGCCATCGTCTCTTTTCAGGTAATCAGCATCATTTCTTCTTCGGGTTCCCGACCGGCATCACTATGGCGTCTTCTATGGGGACCTCTTCTTGTTGTGCTGCATCAGGTTTCATGTCGACTGAGTCCGGCTTCTCCTCTTCTAGATGCACCTCCGTCTTTTCTCGGCAGGCCATCGTCTTTTCCTCTATTTTGAGTAATTGGCATCATTTCTTCTTCAAGTTCTCTTAACCGGCATCACTGTGACGTCTTCTATGGGGACCTCTTCTTGTTGTAGGCCACCTCAGGTTTCCTGTCCACTGAGGTTGGCTTCTTTTCTTCTAGACGTGCCTTCAGGTATTATTAACATATTATATTCACATATTTTTAACACCAGAATTTGATGAGAACTCACAGAACAGACATAAAACACTGAAACAAAAGCTTCCTCACTTGTTCATGAACTACTACATAACTTATATTCATGCAACATGTCAATCCTTGACAATTTCTTGCAACAGTAAGCCAAAATTGCAAAACAACAATGAGGAACCTTACACTTTTACAGAACTCTCCTACATATACAGAAGGATTACATGTTTTTCTGTAGCGTCAATGACAGATGATTAACGAAATGAAAATTGGTAGGGGAAACCAAATAACTCTGAGAAAACATGCCCCAGTGTCACTCTGTCTGCCACAAATCCCACACAACCTGACATGGGATCAAATCTGGGCTGCTGCAATGGGAAGCCAGCCAGATTAGAGCAGCGTTATAATTTGTACCTTTCCAGTGCTATTAAGGTGATTTAATCAGAGATGACATAGTGCATGGGACACTAAGAACACATGGATTAAATAACAAAGGCATATAAAATTTTAGTCTGAAGGCCTGAAAGAAACTATTTTGGAGACCCAGCCACATACAGGATGATAAAATTAAAATTTATAATGCAACAAAAAGATGCACAATAAAAAATTTTAAGTAAAACGAATCTGATGCTATCTTATGCTTTAAGTACACAAACTTAAGGAAGAAACTCCTGTGTGTTCAACATTTGCAGCACAGCAGTTCTGGTTCCAAGATACAATGAAAACAGAATCCAGCAACTCTAAGCATGACACAATTTATGTCACTACATGAAGACAACATACCCTCAATGATGTTTTAAGACACATTTTAGACCAGAGAATTAAGAATGAATTATAATTCTCTGACTATAAATCCCTTAAGGACAACACTAACATCAAACATCATCTTTGAACATGACCCTGAACCAGTCCACTCACTTTATTCTCACATTATATTCCCAAAAATCCACCTTAGTATCCTCCAAGTTTCTCGCTGACCTTTCAAATACCTATTTTCAAGCGAGAGACTTCATAAAAATTCTGCATACATTTCTTGTCTTCCCATCTAAGCTAAATGTCCACTTCATCATAAACAATTTTACTTCATTGCTTTAATAACACCGGGAGACATGTACAAATTACTGATTTCCTCATTATGCAGTATTCTTAAGTCTACATTTATTTCATAGCCCTCAGGTGCAAAAGCTGACTGACGCTATTCTAACAGTTCTACAGCTTGAATACTCACAACACTGAACACATTGCAATCCATCTTTCCTGCCAGCATACTCTGAAGGCCAGATGCAGCATACTGCAGCACAACAGCTTCTTGCAGGAATTCTGATGGTGCATTCCTGAGACCCTCCTGCACATGATACTGTGCAATTTGTGAACACTTTCCGATCTTCTCACCCCACACAATATTACTGGAAACAGAGAATGCAAGTTCATGATCTTCTTAATGGTCCTAAGAGAAAGTAGCTATTTTCCTAGTCAAAGCACCACAATAAAAGCATGCTAAAATTAATCAAATCACTATTCCATGCCAAATCATCAAATTTAGCCATAAGTCTGTGGCAAATGAACATTTTAATTAAGTGAAACTTGGTATAATGTAAATAAAACCACAAAGTATTCTTACAACTATTGACTTTCTGAACATTATCCATCAGCTTCTTTTTCAATGTTTCAGAGACTGGACTCTGTCTCCATTCGGAGGTAAAAGCCTATTCAGCTGGGCCCAATTGATGAGCATTAGTCTCCACCACCAAAGATAGACACTAGCTCTATCGATTGGGCCCAACTGAGTAGGCTTTTGTCTGAGGATGGTGACAGAGTCCAGTGTCTGAAACGTGGGGGGGGGAATAAATAAAAAAACACACACACACACAAAAAAAATCATGCTGACAGATAATGTTCAAAAAATGAATATAACGAAACCTCACAAATTTGGAATTTGTGATAATTTGGACAACGGCCCCCCCCCAAATGAAACAAAACGTTGGACTCCATCAGTTTTGTGGACTCTTAACCCAAATTACAATTAAACATTAACTAATGCTGAGGGGAATGAGGTAAGATATAGTAAAAGAACAGTACAAAAGAGGAAAACAAAATATGTTCATTTTGAAAACATGTCTCAATAATAATAAGAAGTCTGTAGGCTACCTAAAATGCTTTCAAGACTAAGTCAAAACTTTCATTTTTACATGACAAGTGAATTTATTTCATGATAAGTTTCAACTTAAAGCTGTACTGCCTAAAAAGACATGTCAATTCCATTTTATAACTTGGTTTGGTTGGTTGGTTTCCAATGGTTGCGTTTTGGATCATTTAACCCACCTTGCTTCTTGCTTCCCAATAGAGAGCACTCAAGTTCTTGCTTTGTTGCATCTCCTTCTTAAGATTAGGGCATTGAAGCAGGTGTTCTTTTCCCATAGATGATCCTGGCAAGTTGCACAGTGTATATTCTTCTGTTATATATTCCTATCTTACAAAGCTGTGCAGCATCACGTCCTGTATTCAATCAAAAATTTTCAACAGCTTCTTTTCTGGGTGTGTTGCAGTTAAATTCTCAAAGTTTCCTATTTCTGACCATTTCTTGTTGTATGGTTCTTTGTTGAAGGTATGGAGTATTTCTTTATTGTTTTAGTTTTGATTTTGTTAGCTAGCGTGTGGGCACTTAAGATTTTATTTTGGTGATGTAGTCTTGTGTCCTTCTTTGCCAGTTCATCAGCAATATCGTTTCCATTGATGCCAACATGTGATGGTATCCACTGAATGTATATTATCTTTTTTGTGTTTTCCAGTTGTTTCATTAGTTTTTTTATTTCAATTATCTGTCTTATGATAGCTCTTTTGTTTGAGGATATGGCTTGTATGGCTGCTTTTGAATCCAAAAGCAGAACCGCTTTATTAAACATGCTGGGTCTGCTGATTAATTGTTCCAATGCAAATAGTATTGCTTCTATTTCTGCATCGAAGTTTGATTTGTTTTCGCCTACCGCTATATAGTGTGCGAAAAGGGATGAGTATACTCCTGCTCCATCATTAGGTTCTTTGTCTATCACAGAACCATTAGAATATTTATGTAGCCATTCTGATGATGGGTATCTTTCTTCAATGGTCCTTACTGTTAGTTATTTTAATTCTTGTGTGTGTTCTGCTTTCCTTATGCTTCCTACTCAGTCAATGTAGATATTGTAAGAACAATAATCCAGTGGATTTTGCACGGGTACAGCATTTTCTACTTCTATTGGTATTTTTAATTTGTTGAGATAATTTGTATTGCATCTTATGTCTGGCTGCATTTTTAATTTTTGCTCTGATGGTATTTGTCTTACCCATGTTATCTCTGGTATGGATTTCATTTTCAAGAATGTTATTGCTGCTTGTTTCTTAATTTCTCTATGATGGGGTTGTTTTGTGTATATAATTGTAGTGTTGCTATGGGTGTTGTCTTAACAGCTCCGGTTATCAATCTTAATATACAGGGTTTGTCCGAAAAGTAATGTCAGTGATTTTATTGTGAAGTGACTATACGTCACAGCGCGCTCAGATCAGTTGGGATCGGTGGAGGGGGAAGTCAGCTTATGAACGTGCGGTCGCTTAGTCATCTCCGAACTTCCTGAGAGTGACGAAAGGCTTTTCTGTGAAACTCGTTTTTGTCTCCCGTGCAAGCCGCAATGCAGAGCTCCTTGGAACAAAGGACTGCCATCAAATTTTGTGTGAAACTTGGCAAGTCTGCAGTGGAAACTTTTCCCATGATAAAGTTGACCTTCTGTGATGACTGTTTGTCTGAACGTCAGGTCTGCCGGTGGCACAAGGCCTTTTTAGAAGGCCGTGAAGAGGTCGGCGATGAAGCCCGCGCTGGACAACCATCAACAAGCACCACCGACGAAAATGTGACGTGTGTGAGAGAACTTTTGAACTCAGAACGTCGTTTCAGTGTTTAATGGCACAGACATTAAACATTCCAAAAAGTACCATTCACGAGATTGTGACGAACAATTTGCAGATGCGAAAAGTGTGCGCAAAGCTGCTGCCCAAAGTGTTAACGGACGACCAAAAAATCGTGCAGAGTTGAAACGTGCCAAGAACTTTTGGACTTGTGTGAAAGTGACCCTCACTTTTTAGATAATGTCATCACAGGTGACGAGACTTGGGTGTTTGTGTTTGACCCCGAAACAAAAAGGCAAAGTGCCGAGTGGCACACCTCGGCATCCCCTCGCTGGAAGCAATGTATCGACGCAGAAGGAGCCTATTTTGAAGCCTTTTAATGTGTTGTACCGATCTAATCAATAAATGTTTTTTAATCAACTCACTGACATTACTTTTTGGACAAACCCTGTACTGTTTTGCGCTTGTTCGAGTTTATTGAGTCTTTTATTATTTGCTGTTATTATCACTGGTTTGATATAGGTTTCATAGGTTTTATTTAGTATGTGTGTCTTGAGAACTTCCCCATGTTACTCCACTCATGCATTTTATCAAAGTTGATTTTTGCTTTACTTTATTTGTTATTTCATCTATATGATGGTTCCAGTTTAATTTGTCATCTAGCTGTAGTCCTAGATATTGTCGTGTTTTCATACTTCTGTAAAGGTTTGTTATTTATGGTTAGACTGAAATCCATATTTTGATGTTTCAAAGAGAAGAACTGGTAATTTGTTTTGGTGGTATTTATTAGCATATTATTATCTTCTGTCCATTTTTTGAGTTTTATTAGAGCTTGGTTCATTTTATTTTCTAATCTAGTTTGTTGCTTTCTGTTGTTTTTTCATTTGGTCCACATGACCAGATCATCTGCAAACATACATATATTTATGCCATCAATTGTCATTAGTTGTTTTGGTAAATCATTTACATAAATGTTAAACAGTGTAGTGGTTGAGACCTTGTGGGAGGCCTGTTTTTGTTTGCTTGTAAGGTGAAGTGTGCTGGTTGTGTTTAGTTGAGATCCACAGTTGGCTTAAGAACATTTCAAACCACTGTAACATTTTCCCTATGATGTTAATTTTCTTCAGTTTGTGTATCAATTTAGTTCTCCATATTGTATCATACACACCCCTTAAATCAACAAAGACAGCTAAAACACTCTCATTTTCGTTAAAGGAGTTTTTAATTTCTTGTGTAACATAGGAGGTTTGGTGTGCTGTAGATCGATTTAGTCTGAATACAGCTTGTCCTTTTGCTATTAATTTTTCTTTTTCTAGGTACCAATTTAGTCTAGTTGTAATCATTCTTTCCTGTACTTTGGCTAACATGGAAGTTAAAGCGATTGGTCTGTATCATGATATTTCTTCTTTGTTTTTGTTGGGTTTTAAAATGGGAATGATTATAGCTTTTGTCCAATTTGGTGGGAGATTTTGAGGACAGTTCCAAACGGTATTGGTAGGAGTTTTTGTAATTATTTACTTCCAAGGTGTTCTAGAAATTCAGGGACTATGTTATCTGGACCAGGCTGCTTTTGTTTTTAAGGTTTCTTATTGCTTCTTTTAATTCTTCAAGAGTAAAATTGCTGCTAAATATTTCATCGTCCTTAGAATAATTCTTCTCACTGCCTGTATCCTTGATCTTTTGTTTGTATAGTTTATTCTTTCTTTTATTTTCTTTATTAAGTGTATACTGGTTTGCATAGTGTGTGTTAAATTTTTTTCCTATCTTTTTCCCATTAAGTATTATTGGTTGTTCAGTTCTAGGTGGAAACCTGTTAAATGTATTCATAAACTTATAAATTTTCGTTGGGCCTGTTCTGTAATTTATATTTTGTAGAAATGAGTTAAATGGATTCTTTTTAGCTTTGTTTATATTTAGGCGTAATTTTGCTGCTGTTTTTCTCCATTGGACTATATCTTCTTGCTTTTATGACCTTTCTGCTTTTTGTCTTGCTAAGTCTCTCAGATTTTTTAATGACTCTAGTTGTGGGTTCCAGAAGGATTTATATTTGACTTGCCTTCCTCTGGGAATGTATTGTTTTGCTGCTTCTTGTATGATGCTGCAGAATTCTTTCAGCATAATTTCTGGCTTATGTTCTTGGTTAATTTTTGTAATGTTTTTGTTTATATCATTTCTGAATGTCTTCCATTTTGCTTTTTGGAAATTCCAAGATGTATGTATGTAAGGGGTGGACCATAAAAACTGGCCCCCACATTGCAACCTTCAATGATCTATTGTGCTTTCCCTTGGATTAGCCCTTTATTAATCCTACACTTTTAATAAAGTATAGGACCCTGCTTATGGGGGCATCATAAAAGCCACTTGGTTCCATAAAAAACTGACACACGTGATGAAATCTTAAATAAGCTATGGCCTCACAATCACACAGGATGTGTGCGGCTGATTCGTTTTCTTGTAGACACCTTTCACAAGTTGGGCTATCTGTCAGTTCCAATTTGAAAAGGTGTCCTTTTTGGTGGCAGTGTCC